GCTCACCCTCGAGAGGCGCACTGTGGTGCAACACGAGGGAAGCAAGACACTGATCATCAACGTCTAGTGGTTCGACGAGGAACAGGTGAGGCACCTGGATCACGACCTGAAAGAACACTGGATGGACCAAACGGACTTCTACCTGAAGGACAACACGATCGTCGGGACAGGCGAGCACGGACTGATGGGCACTGGAGTATCCAGGCCGAACGAGTCGAACGAGTAGACGATCATGACGTGGGAACAGATGGCACCGAAGAAAGGGCAAGGGAAAGGTAATCGACTCTCCCAAGGTACGAGCAGTTCGGGAGAAGCGGGAACCCATGACTTCATGAATATCATGCAGGAGGAGATCAAGCATCACCAAACCACCGACAACGAGAGGGGCAACTTCTAACCTGACTCCGAGAGCGAACACGGACCATCCAGATCGAAGAGGCGCACTACAGGCCGAGCCAACGAAGAGATCTGTGAGGGGCTCACTGGCGACGAGATCGGCACGGCAACCACGCTGATTGTGTTCGGAACTACGCTGGGCTGGTGCTGCAAGCCACGCGTGCGAGTACATTGAGGAGAGACCACACCAAAGAACAAAATGAACGGCGGGGACACCACAAAGACCGAGAATCCCCCAGATGCACCGACAAGAATGAGTCTTCAAGCACGAAACTGAACGACAACGACAACGACGACGAACGGGACGAGGACGCTCAGAAGCCGGTGAAGGAGGACGAGTACTACGATCCATGGATTTCGAGAAGGTGCGACTCGTACCGCAGGAATGTTGTTGGTCAGTGTGCTTCATGCAAGAGATACGCGTCCAAATATCATCTCAGCGAATCGAACGACATCCAGAGAGCAAGCTCGAAGGCTCAACAGAACCTGAACGACAACAAACAATGTTTGGCCTGCAGTCGTGACAATATGTCACCATGCGGATGCCCACCGTAAACGCCTGAAACACGCAGCATCCAACGACAAACGGCAGCGTGCGAAGTGCGTGGTGTGCAATCAGGTGTGGAGAGACAGCTTCCCGCTGACGAACTCTCAAAACATCGAGGAAGAAGGTGATGTGCAGAATTGATAGATGCACGAAGCGAATGACAATGAGATAGCAGGCAGTGTGTTTTTGAGGTCGTTTTGAAGACTGTTTCTCAGTGAACCCACCACCGATGCTAGTGTTTCTTTTCTCTGCACCTATGTGTTTCAATACGTTTGCAATTTCGCGAATACCTGTGTCTTAACACGTTATGTGTTCCTTTTATGGCGCTATGCCTGCATACCCAAGAAGAAATCATATAAACATATGCGTATTCTATGAAGATGAGTTGTTGGGAATGTGAAACCATATGCGGTCCTCATGCACGCGTGCTGTCTGAAAATGTTTTGGGCTCAAGACATGGACCCTTGTGTTGAGCTTTGCGAAAAAAGCATCCTTGCACTTTCACATACTGTTCGGTACGCGTTGCTACCGATCGCCAAGAGGCCCCCCAAAGGCCCAAACGAAGCCCCTATAACAACTCCCCAGAAGCATCAAACGGGCGTCCGGGAGGCCCCAAAGAAGCCTCATACGAGATCGCAACGAACATCCAAGAGGCCTCTGACCCACAACCTAGGCACGGTGGCACGGACCAGGAACGCTCCAAATGACCCCGTCGTGTTAAGCGCAGTCTGAACAGGGGACCTGTGTACTTTGGAGGCGGAGGTGGCGGATGAGCAGGATGACGAGCAGGAGTAACCGGGGGCGGCCAAGAGGGGGGCGTCAAAGAGAGGGGGGCGCAACTCATGGCTGGCGGCATGTGCGCGGCCCAGGGGGGACCCAGGGATGTAATGAAAGAAGAAAAAGAGAAGCCATGAAATCTGAGGCAATATCACGGCCCACGCCATGATATCCCGCCCCCCTAGTCATCACCCCCCTCTTGGCCGCCCCCGAATTAATTAAGAGGAGACGGATGAGGGATGGTGAGGACGAGGGAGAACTACATCAGGAGCAACCACGAGCGGGACGACGAGGGGAGGGTGGGGGAGGGCAACGGAAGGGGGCGACAACGACGAGAAACACTCGGATCCAGAAGTGTGGCCCGCACTGGGGCGAGATCGCCATCATGAACGGCGGGAGCAAAGCGCAGACCCCAAAACGAAGCCATCGCTGCAATGGGGGCGCCATTTTGGACCGACCGGGAACGCTTGAATCAGAACAGCGCACCAGACGTGTCAGCTCGCACCAGTCCTGCGTCACGAGAACTACGCTGAAGGGTGCTTGCCGCTCTCATGATGCAGCACGTCTTCAGGGGAGGGAGGGTACTAGCATTTACTTTGAGGAATCGAAGTTTCCAAAATATCCATGCGGGGAGAGGCTCGAGACATACACCTCACACTGGTGAGCCGCCGGGAGGGGGTGTCGGGCGGCGAGCATCCCATGAGAGGGACGCTGGACTAGGGAGAAGGACCCCGAGCCTGAACGTGCTTGGGCTCAGCACTGGAGGCTGCAATTCCCGAGCTCGTGGCGCAAGAACTAGTGAATGGTCCGGATCCCTGCATTACTCTCCCCGACTGCCTTCGCATCCAAGTCCCACTAGCACTCTGGGCGTAGATGGTTTAGCGCATTACCTCTCCGTCTGGACGGGGGGAGAGGGTGCGATCAGTCAGAACGTCCATGATGGCCCGGGACGGTCTCAATAGGCCAAAAATGCCTTCACAGATGACACGAAATAGCCCAAGTTGGCGCTTCAAACATCATCCAGCGTGCCTCCAAGATGCCCCACGAGCGCCCCACGACGGATCCAAGTGGCCACGAAACCACTCATGGGAACCCTTGAAAGCCCGAACCCATTGAACGACCCTTGGTTACTCCCTGAATAGCTTGTCCGTGCATATTATACAACTGGTTCGTAAGGAGGGCCAGGGGGCCTTCCGCGAAGATGAGAATCAGTAACTTGAATGTCTTCCGTATGGTCTCCCGAAGAGGGGGGCTGTTGCTGGCCCTGGAATCGCTGAACTGATGGTCTCCCGAATGGTCTCCCGAATGGTCTCCCGTATGGTCTCTTGTATGGTCTCCTGTACGGTCCCCCTATATTCTCACGTGTGGTCTCATGTTTGCTCGCCCGTATGGTGTTCGTATGATGTAATGTCAGCTTGAGATTAACAAATCCGTGGGGGGGCGCGCTTATTTAAATAGCTCCTTTGCTCGGGCGACCCGCGGGGTGGCGCCCGCCAGATTGAAAGTCAAAGGGGCGGCGTCGGTGATCACAGTGAAAGCCTTGAGTAAGAAACACCTCCTTTTCAAAAAGGGCTCGGTCGTTCCTTAGATTTGCATGCGTTCCGTCCGTTACCTTTTTGGCGGCGAGCCCCCCCGGTGTTCATTACGATTTTGGACGCGCGGGTTCGTTTTTTCGGTCGGGGCGGGCGGTCTAAGGAACGGGGCTCCACGGGGGGGCTCGGTTCCTTGCGATTGCTCGACGTAATGCGACGGCGGTCGCTTAAAAGCCCAGCGCCTCTCTGGGGCCCTCCCGTTCCTTGCGGGGCGCGCGGTGGAGCTTTCGCCCCTATCCGCATGCCTAGGTAGGGGCATTGAGGTCCAGTTCCTCGCAAGAGCCCCCCCCGTTCCTTCGGCAACGCGGTTCGGAGCTCACTGGCTCGACATAATTGAACGGTGGTTGCGTTAAGGTTTTGGAGCAGCGGGGGAGGGGGGGGCGGGCGGTCCTTGGTGTTTTGGCGGAGAGGGCGGGGGTCGAATTGCACGAGCAAATCGTAGCGGAACGCCGCTAGAAAGGGGCTCGGCCGTTCCTTCCGGCTTCATGGGCTTACTTGGAAAAAAACCGGCCTCGTTCCTTATGTATGGTTCCTTAGGTCAGGACCTTCACTGTAGCGCCGACGCCCGGCCGCCAACGAGGGGCAATGGGGGGGCTGTTCAAAGGCAAGGGCGAGCCAGGGCGCCCCTCTTTCTGTCGAACCGATGCGGGCCTGCGGGCAAGGCGGGCTGGACGAACGTGGGGCGCAGCAAAGGGGTAATCGCCAAGCAGCTCACATCGCCGATTTTCCAGGCGCCTCCTGGCGCCGAAAGCGGCCATGCGTCAAGGAATGGCCTTTCGGCGGGGCGACCGAAACCAGCTGCGCGCAGCAGACCCTCCTTTTCTTTCTCCAGCCTTTCGTCCGACCCGAGCAACGCGGGGAGTCCTCCTCCCCCCCTCTGTCGCCGTCGTCGCCGCCGTCCCCCGCCCTGCCTGCGCCCGCTTCCAGCGGCCGCTCTCTTCGTCGCTCGGGCCTGAATGGCTTTCGCCACGGCGGAAGTGTGCCTTGAAGAAACCGGGCCCTGGACCCCGGAGGTCGCCCTCCTTCTCCTCCCTCCCCCTCATCTCTCTTCCTCCCCCCTGGCGCACAAGAATAAAAGAAATATCGTGCCCCGCGGGGTCTATTCATCAGCCCCGGGGGGGGAGGTCAGGTCATTTGTTAACCGCAAGCTGACATTACCGTATGGTCTACCGTGTGGGCCCCCCAAAAATCTTGCGTATGGTCTCGCGTATGGTCTCCCGTATTAGCCCCCAATCGAATCGCGTGTGTTCTCGCGAGATGGTCTTCCGTGTGGTCTCTCGAATGGTCTGCTGGTTGGTTTCCCGTGTAGACTTCCATGTGGTCTCCGTACGAATTCCTGCATTGTCTCCCATATGCTCTCCTGCAGTCTCCTGTATGCTCTCCCTGCGTGCATCACAGCATGGTGGTCCCTTTACTATCAATTTCTACTGTTTAGGGCACTCTGCCGCCAGGGAACAATTCTATTCTCGTCTCAGGACGGATCCACGATCGCCCAAGAGAGCCCCGAGAGGTCCCGATCGCGCCCTAGAGCGCAGCGAGAAAGCCCAAATAGCTCAAGAGAAAATGCTTCGGGCTCCAGAAGCGCGACGCTAATTCGCGCTGCTTCGGTTTTCATGAACAGAATCGGAGGCTGACGAAGGGACAAAAAACAAGATCAAATGAGGAAGGACGGCGAGGAATGACGGCGCCTTCGGCGTCGTGTTGAGATTGGAGAGGCCACGCTTCTCCGCCTCGACCGGCCACTCGGCAGAGTAGCCGTTGCCGGTGAAGATGACCTGCGGGTCGGGACCAGCTAAGGGAGTGGCAAAAAGGAAAAGAAATCCCGATCATCCGATGTCTTGTTCCCAACCATCCTGTGGTGTTGGGTCCTCGTTTTGAAGAGACGGTCCCCGCGTTCTCCTTCTCTCCTTCTCTTCCCCCTCCTCCTCCTCCACCGTCCGCATGCGTCCCGCACACCCAGTACAGCGTTTCGTGGCCCTCCTCCGCCTCCTATGCGTCCCGCACACCCAGTACAGCGCTTCGTGGCCCCATAAGGAGCAACACCGAAAATCCCAGGGCTACCGTCCGCATGCGTCCCGCACACCCAATACAGCGTTTCGTGGCCCTCCTCCCCCTCCTCCCTGCGTTTCACCCACCCAGTACAACGATTCGTGGCCTCGTTGGGAGCCCTACCGAAGGTCCCAATGCTACCGTCCGCATGCGTCCCGCACACCCAGTACAGCGTTTCGTGGCCCCATAGGGAGCCCCACCGAAGGTCCCAGTGCTACCGTCCGCATGCGTCCCGCACACCCAGTACAGCGTTTCGTGGCCCCACAGGGAGCAACACCGAAAGTCCCAGGGCTACCGTCCGCTTGCGCCCCGCACACCCAATACAGCGTTTCGTGGCCCTCCTCCCCTGCGCTTCACCCACCCAGTACAGCGTTTCGTGGCCCCCTAGGGCGCCCCACCGAAGGTCCCAGTGCTACCGCCCGCATGTGCCCCGCACGCCCAATACAGCGCTTCGTGGCCCCATAGGGAGCCCCACCGAAGGTCCCAACGCTACCGTCCGCATGCGTCCCACACATTCAGTACAGCGCTTCGCGGCTCCATAGGGAGCTCCACCGAAGGCCCCAGTGCCCCCGTCCGCATGCGTCCAGTAAGCCCAATTTGGCATTTTCACCCACCCAGTGCGGCGTTTCGTGGCCCCATAAGGGGGCTCCACCCAAGGCCCCAGTGCCACCGTCCGTATGCGTCCGGGAAATGTAATTTAGCATTTTCACCTGCGCAGTGCAACGTTTCGTGGCCCCATAGGGGGCTCCACCGAACTCAATAGAGCGCTCCGTGGCCCCATAGGGAGCTCCACCGAAGCCCCCAATGGGACCGTCCGCATGCGCCCTAGAAACCCAATTCGGCACACCACCCACACAGTACAGCGTTCCCCCCCGCCCAGTCCAGCGCTTCGTGGCCCCATAGGAAGCTTCACCGAAGCAGATATTCACAATCACTGTACCCACAATTGCATATGGTCGGGACCTTCGCCAAGATAATTTGTTTCAATTCGGGGTCCCCGGATGTCCCAACCCGGGCCGGATTTTCCATCTGGAATCGTTCATTGACGAACCTGGGGCCCGGCGAGGGCCCCTAGAGGCCGAAGACTGCCAACGCCCTTCCGACATATGTTGTCCACGGCGCGAGCATGTTGGAGATTCGTTTGCCCACAAAGTTGGCGCGCACGCTGGGTGGTGTATTGGCTCTGCCTGTCCAAGGCCGCGTTCAGCGCCGTAGCTTCAGCAAGGTGTCGTGGCTACCTGCCTCGTGGAGGGTCGTGCTGTCGTGGCTGGACGTCTGTGCCCTCGGCAAGGAATTCCTCGCAGGGTCAGAGAATGCGGGGAACGGGGGGTGTGAGGATGGGGAAGAAAGTCGGATCGGATCGACTCGGCAGACGGGAGCGTTGAGAACATAAGCGCCGTCCGTGTGGGGAAGAAGGGGGAGGGAGGAGAGTCACTGAAAGCGGGAAAGCGGTGGGGTGGGGTGTGGGGCATCCTCTCGCGGCGAAGGTGGAATGCGGCGGCAAAGGCCACGCCACACTGGCCTGGCAAACGGAGCGCGGGCCGAATGGCTGCCGCGGCGAGTGCGCGCCGAGCCGTAATGCATGGGCCCGGTGGGCTGCGTCCCCACTTCCGGAACCGAGGAGAGGGGGAATGCCATGGGGACACGCAGCTCGATGCAGATCATCAGTCTGGAGAAGCAACATAATCCCCACTCCCACCAAGGAACCCCTGGGCCGGCAAGCCGGCCTACACCCCTAGGTGGGGATGGGTGCCGTCCGCTTCGGGTTTCGCGACACCGATCCCCGCTTAGACGAGGTACGCTGGGAGCGCCACCTTACCTCGTCCAGGTGGGAGTAGCGATGGTTATGGCGATTCGGAAAACTGCTCGCAACAGTTGCGTCATGCACAATTCGCCGGCCCAACGGGCCAAAGGCGTGCTAAGATTTCCGGTAACTTGTTAATAATATTTCTAGTTCGCGCGCGCGGAGCGGCCCCTGGGGGCCCCCAGACGAAAAGTACCCCGGCAAGGTCCCGAGAGAAGCCCGGGAGAAGCCACCAGACCACTCCAGGGGAGGGTATTTTTCGACACCCCTCACGAGGATCGTGGCCTCCGAGGGGGGAGCCGCAATCGACTACCCCCAAGAGCCCCCCAAGAGGCCCTGGGGGCCTCCAAAACGCCGCCAAGGAGCCCCAAGAGACTCCCAAGAGGTCCCCAAGAGGCCGCCAAGAGGCCCTAAAGAGGGCTCCAGGGCCGGCGGCATGAGCGAAACGATTAAATAATGATACCTGCGCAATCGTCGGGCACTTAGCGCGGGGCACTTAGCGCGGGTCAGATAGTACAATACTGCCGCGTACCATGAATGCGTTGTGTTCGCATTCGTCGTAGCACTCGCGTGTACCCGCCCCAATGTCAGCCCTGCGTGTATATGATGTACTACCACTAGCTCGCCAACGCACCAACACTTACCGATCAATCCAATACTTGCCGTCAACACAGGCTCCCGCTAAAGACGTCGGCGACTGATCCTTGATTGCGTTGGCGCCTCATTGAACAAGATCACGTGACACGGCCATGTGCTCTAAGGGAACACATGACTAGGCCATGCGTTCTGGAAGACCACATGGCCAGACCTTGCTTTTCAACAGAGCGCATCACATGTTCAGGCCACACGTTCCGAAAGAACGCATGAACAGGCGATGCACTGCGAGAGGGCATGGCCCGCTGGGAACACATGACATTGCCATGCGTTCCGAGAGAGCACATGCAACAATAAAGCCCACGCACTCCAAGCGCAGATTCAAAACCTTGGACAGTATCGAACGTGGGCTCCTCCTTCGCATCCGCCTCCTCCGCCGACCCTCCTCCGTCTCCTCCTCCTCCTTCCTCCAGGGTCTCATTTGGTCGTTGAGACGTTCTGGGTCGTCTGTGGGTTCCCTCATCGCCCAAAGCCCCGCTTGGAGAGGCGGCGGGAGAGCGGCCGTGACCGCTTCTTATCCCTCTCCGACGTTTCCAATCTTCCAATCCTCCAGTCCACATCCTTCTCAACCCAGCTGCTGCTAAAGACCCAACCAAGGAACATCCACTCGACTCGATCGCACTGTACGACGGATGGTGGCCACCTCACTGATCCTCCCTTTCCCTGGTGGCGCTCGCCGCGGTCTCGGCCAGCGCGCGGATCGTCGCCACGCCGATCTCAGCGCGCCACCGCTGCAGACAGCGCGCCGGAGGCCCGCCGCAGCGCGAGGACCGCTGCAGTGCCAGCTTCTCAAGGACTGCGAGGGCGTGGGGGCCAAAGCGGCCCCAAGCCTCCAAGCCAAAGAGGGAGACTGCAACTCCTCCCCGGCCCTCGCCATACCTCTTGAATTTGGCCCTCTCCGCGGTCAGCGCGCCGTGGGCGTCCTCCTGGGTTGCCTGGCACCGCCGCTCCAGCCTGAACGGGTTCGTGCCGGTGACGTCCACCCATTCCTCATACAGCTCCGGCCCGAGCCCCCGCAGGTGGACGTCGAGACGGGCCTCCACCGCATCCTCGGCCCCCAGCTGCTGCTGTTGCTGATGTTGGTGATGCTATTCCTGCGCGGCCATCTGGCGACTTGGGGAAAACATGATTCCCAAAGAAGTACTCGAGCCTTTGACATTAACAAATCATTGGCCTAACATAAGTGGACTTGCATTTCTAGGGGGGAGGGGGAGGAGGACGACCAGGAGACAAATAGCGAGAACGAGGAGGATCAGGATGTCGTTGAAGAGAAGGGGGAGGAGGAGGAAGAGGAGGAGAAACATGGAGAAGAGGGCGAAGAGAAGGGCGAAGGGAAGGAATGAGCAGGCGAATCTGCTTGCCAGTCCAGGTAACTCCTAGATTGTTGCAAACACATGTCAAGTAACCCAGAGGGTATGCAGGACATGAGAGAAGGAGTGGGAGGAGGAAAAGGACAAGACGAGGAGAAAGCCAGACACTTCACATGCGCTTCCCTGGACCCCTCGAACTTAGTCATCAGGACTGATTCCCCGTCTGTTATTTATCGATTGTTTCGGCGTCCGCACATGGACTCCAAGGGCCGAGCTCGCGAAGAGACGCTGGTCGATTTGTTAGTTTCTCCTGCGACACATCGGGGTCCAGCGAGGCGGAGACGGAGGAGGACGAGCTTTCTGCCCAGGCTGCAGACGTTGCGGTTCATCTTGTACATCTCGGCCACGGCGTCGCGCGCCTTTTCGGGAGCGGCCAAGAGGGGGGGGTCCAAGAGGGGGGGGTGCAAATCATGACCGGCGGCATGTGCGCGGCCCAGCGGGGGGGGCCAGGGACGTAATGAAATAAGAAGAGGCGCCATGACATCTGGGGAAATATCATGGCCCCCGCCATGATATCCACCCCCCCTAGTCATCACCCCCCTCGTTGCCGACCCCGACCTTTGTGCCGCCCTCGATCTTCTCGGCGAGCGCGCTCATGCCCGCGGCCATGATCGTGTTGCAGATCATCACCGGGAACGAGCAGTTCTGGCGGGCCGCTGCTCTGCTCGGATGACGTCGGGCGGATGGCCCGACAAGGGGGGGGGGAAGGGGAGCAGGGGGGGGATGGAAGGGGAGCGGAAGAATGGACAAGGAGGGGAGGTATCGGGTAGGGGGGTGAGCGGGGAAGGACGGTAGTCAGGTAGGCGGGCGGGTGCGATGGGGAGGGGGGCGGGAGCCGTGGACGGGAGAGGAGCACGACGAGGCATGGGAAGGAAAATGAGGACAGAATAATGAGGACGAGGACGACGAAGACGGGATGGGAGAACGGAAACCCGCCACTTCTGCACCTCGTCCTCTCCCTCTTTCTCCATCAAACTCATCCCCATACTCGCTTTTCCTGCTGCAGCCGTGAACCAACACCCATCACACATGAGCTAAAATTGGTGACCACTGGGGTCGGGCGTGCAAGAATGAAGTCCATGAGCGACATTAACGATTCAACCAGAGGTGATCTCCTTTAAGGCCGCCCCATGGGTCACCTCCATTTGCGGGCAGCAACCTGTACATATCCATGGCCTCGCGGACTGGATCCCAAGGCCGCGACCCCACGGATACAGGGCGGCTTTGCAAACGGTTGCCCCGAACGAAACGCCTTCACGCGAACGGCGCCTCAGTGTCCAGAGCGCGAGGGCACGGATATGGATCTTTAAGTCGCTCATGGTCACAAGTCTCGGGCGGACTTTCGGAACAATTCCAGCATCCCAGGAACGCCCTTGACGAGGAGCTAATGGAAGCCACCCCGAGGCCTCAAAAACCGGTGAAAAACGTCCTCCTCCTTCGCCCCATTCGGGCCGATTCAAGCATCACCAGAACGCTCTCGACGAGGCGCAGCTGATGGAAACCGATCCTGGCCCCGACGACCTCCAAAGACCTCAGAGCACCTTGCCCCTCCTCCTCCTCCTCTTCTTCCTTCTCCTTCTCCGCCTCCTCCTCCTCCTCCTCCTCCTCCTCCTCCTCCTCCTCCTCCTCCTCCTCCCCCCTCCTCCTTCGCCGAAAACCTTAGAAGACCACAGAACACGAAGGCAGCCGTCCTCATGCTTCGCCCCCGCCCTCGACCTTCGTTCTCGTCGGCGGCGGCGGCGGGGGCCGCGCCTGCGAGGAGCCCACCGCGCGGAACTCGTAGCGGTTGCCGCAGAAGGGGAAGGGCGCGGTGCGATTGCGGTCCTCGCGAGCGCCGCCGCGGTGCGGGGGCCGCCGCTCCGCGCGACCACCTCCTCCATCTCCTCCTACATCTCCTCCTCCATATCCTCCTCCTCCTCCTCCTTCCCCTCCTCCTGCCGCTGCTCCTCCTCCTCCTCCTCCTCCTCCTCCTCCTCCTCCTCCTCCTCCTCCCTCTCCTCCTCCTCCTCCTCCCTCTCCTCCTCCTCCTCCTCTTCCTCCTCCTCCTCCACAATTGCCAAGTCTGAATACTACCGTCTCCTCTTCCCCGAAGACGTCCAATAGGCATTGCGCCCTCTCCGCCCACTTGCCTACCCACATAAGAAAACAATAATTGGCATGTTACGTGCTCCTGCTGCAACGTGGGTTTCATTGTAGGATCGGCGCTTTGCTCCCGTTGTTCAGAACGGCACTCTCGCCCCAGCGCGGGCAACTTATCTTGATCCGAGTAACTCCTCATCATTGTTTCCCTGCTTCTTTCCCCTCCACTCCCTTACCCTGGTCCTTCTGCTCTCCACGCTGCCACTGCTCCTCCTCGTCCTCCTCCTTTATCATCTTCCTGCTCATCCGCCACCCCCAACTTCTCCTCCAAAGTACGCAGCGCCCCCTTCTAGGGCTGCGCATGCAACGGTAGTGTCCTTTTGAAGGTTCCAGGTGCGTGGGCAGAGGAACAACAGCGTATTGGGAATGGATGGGTGGGATGGGGTAGGATGTCAGATATGGGGCGAGCACCTCTAGCTTGTTCCTCCTCCTTTTTTCCCAACCATCCTGTGGTCTTGGGTCCTCGTTTTGAAGAGACGGCGCCCCGCGTTCCTCAGCTCCTCCTCCTCCCCTCCCTCCCTCCTCCCATCATCATCATCATCATCATCATCATCATCATCATCATCATCATCATCATCATCATCATCATCATCATCATCATCATCATCATCATCACCACCATCATCATCATCATCATCAGCATCATCATCATCATCATCATCATCACCGATTTCGGCACACCCCTCACACGTTTCGTGGCCCCATAGGGAGCTCAACCGAAGGCCCCAGTGGCAGGGACCGCATGCCTCCCCACCACCCATGTCGGCACACCCCTCACACGTTTCGTGGCCCCATAGGGAGCTCCACCGAAGGCCCCAGTGGCAGGGTCCGCATGCCCCCCCCCACCACCCATTTCGGCACACCCCTCACACGCTTCGTGGCCCCATAGGGAGCTCCACCGAAGGCCCCAGTGGCAAGGTCCGCATGCCTCCCCACCACCCATGCCGGCACACCCCTCACACGTTTCGTGGCCCCATAAGAAGCTCCACCGAAGGCCCCAGTGGCTGCGCCCGCATGCCTCCCCACCACCCATTTCGGCACACCCCTCACACGCTTCGTGGCCCCATAAGGAGCTCCACCGACGGCCCCAGTGGCAGGGTCCGCATGCCTCCCCACCACTCATTTCGGCACACCCCTCACACGTTTCGTGGCCCCATAGGGAGCTCCACCGAAGGCCCCAGTGGCAGGGTCCGCATGCCTCCCCACCACCCATGTCGGCACACCCCTCACACGCTTCGTGGCCCCATAGGGAGCTCCACCGAAGGCCCCAGTGGCAGGGCCCGCATGCCTCCCCACCACCCATTTCGGCACACCGCTCACACGCTTTGTGGCCCCATGGGGATTTCCAGTGAAGGTCCAAGTGGCAGGGTCCGTGGGCGTGGAGCCGGTGCAGTGGAAGGGGGGCTACTACCGCCACCACCACAAGAAGAAGGCCATCGAGGAGTGCGCCAACCACAGGTGCTTCGCAGTCACTGCCACCATCGGCAAGCGAGCCCGACACTGCATCCGTGAGCGGTTGTCGCCGCACATGCCCAGTCTGGTGGGCCCCAGGCAGTTTGGAGGCATCCAGCGACGGGGCACACAGCACGCGCTCATCCTCATACGGCTCCTCCAGGCCACGGCAATGGCCAAGTCTACCACGTTTGCCGCCTTCTTCCTAGATGCCAAGGACGCGTTCTACTCGCTCGTGAGGGAGCTTGTCCTGCACACCACCACGAGCGAGTCTGGCCTCGATGCCATCTCGAAGTCCACGGGTGTGCCCGAGGACGCGCGCCGACTCCTCAGGCAGACGATTGGAGGGCCCCCAATCCTAGAGAGAAAGGGTGTGTGTGGGCACCTCCGAGCGCTGATCTCCGAGCAGTACAGGGCCTCCTGGTTTGTGTGCGAAGGCTCCGACCACGTTGCCCTTGGCACCAAGTCGTCCATCCCAGGTCAGCCCCTGGCGGACCAGATCTACGAGATAGCGATGGGTGAGATCACCGAGCTCATCGAACAGCGACTCCATGCTGCAGGGCTAGGCGTCTGGGTAATGGGCACGGACTCCAGGTCCCTGGCGGACCAGCTCGACAGCGAGGACGAGTGGCAGGAGCTCCCGTCTCACAGCGTTGCCTTCGCGGACGACGGCAGCTTCTTCTACCTCGGCGAGGCCAGCGGTGCTGCAGAGGCCCTGGCCCTTGCGGGCGGCATCATTCTGGATGCCTACGCCGAGTATGGCCTACGGCTCAACCTGGACCCAGGCAAGTCGGAGGCACTCTTCATGTTTGCGGGGAAGGGCTCCAAGGCTGCCAAGCACGACGCGTGGCACGTCCGCCAGGGCAGTCTTGCCCTAGTCTCCAAGTACTTCGAGGACCCGTCCGTCAGGCTGGTCAACTCCCACGTCCAGCTGGGCACGGTGATCGACGACCACGGCGCCATGTACCCCGAGCTCTACCGCAGGGCACAGACCACCAGCAAGCAGCTGAGCCAACTCAGGCGCAAAGTCTGCAGAGAGCCAGGGGTCCCGAGGGCGGCCAAGATGGAGTTCGCGGATTCCCTGATCCTTGGATCCAGGGCATACTCCATGGGCAGCTGGATGGGCCTCACAGTCGCGGAGAGCAAGTATTTCCATGGTATGATCATGTCAGTCTACAGGGCGGCCACGTCCAGCTCGCCCGTCAGACGGACTGAAGAGGAGGAGGGCGGCGAGCTCGAGAAAACGCCCGACGCTGCGGATGACCACGTCCTCCTCCGAGCAGGCAGGTCAAGGCCAGCCGACCTCTTGAAGGTCGCCCGCCTCCGCCTGTATGGGGAGCTGCTCCAATCAGGCCCCCCAGTGGCATTTGCCCTCATGGCAGGGCTGCTGATGGCCCCAGCGCCAGCCAGGCGTCGATCCTGGCCAGCTCTCCTACTGGATGACCTGCAGTGGCTCAGGCAGTTCTCCCACGCCTACGATGACCTGCCGCACCCTGTGGTGGATATCAGGCCGTGGGAGAGGAAGATCCGCAGCTCCCATACCACCTGGAAGCACAGGCTCAACGACGCGCTGAAGGCGGCGGCGGAGGAGCTTGCCAGGAGGACCCAGGCGCAGGAGGCGGCCCAGCACTTCTTCAAGACGGTGTGGCCAGCAGGTGTGCCTTACTCTACACGGCCAGGGAGCCCATTCGGACCACCAGCACAGGATGGACCAGCAACAGCTTGCGCAGAGGGGTGTTCCCAAAGTGCAGCCGTGTCTGGGTGGAGCTGCCCATGGTGTGCCAGTGGTTTCAAGAAGCTAAGGGGCCTACGAGTGCACATCTCCAGGGAGCACTGGAGGATGCAGGACCTGGCGCGCAGGTGGCTGCAAGGGGCAACACAGTGCCCGACCTGCCTGATGCAGTTCGAGGGCGAGCACCACCTGATCGAGCACGCGGCCCACGGCTCGCCCGGCTGCCTGCTGCAGATCGCCATGGCCTGCGTCCCCGAGGACCTGAGAGGCGAGGCCGTGCAAGTGGCGGCCCCGCTCCCGAAGGGTGGCTTCCGCAAGCGCGTCAACGTGCCGGCGCAGCGAGCAGCAGGGCCACATAACCCACGCCTGCAGTGGGAGGATCTGCTGAAGGAGGGCCACTACATGGAGGCGAAGCACATGGCGGCCACGCTGATCAGATCCGACTACGCGCTGGACGAGAAGGCGGTGAATGTTCTCCTTGCTCGTGAAGGGGCCGCCCAGCCAGCAGCCGAGGAGGATGACACCCCCTTCGAGCGCTACACGCTGGACCAGTTTCCGACGGGCAAGTACGAGGGCATCGCGACGGAGCAGCTGCCCTGGAGGCCGAGGCGAAGGGAGGTCTTTGTCCTCAACCTCTTCTGCGGGGTCCGCAGGACAGACGACATCCAAGACTGCCTCGAAGCGAGCATCAGCTACGAGCAGATCAGCACGACGATCCAGATCGTGGTGCTCAGCATTGATGTCGCCATCGACGCGGAGAGGTGCGACCTGATGAAGTCGAGCAACCTCCGCACCTTCGGCGACGCCATCCGATCCCACCAGGTGATCCTCACGGGCGGCGGCCCGCCATGTGAGACGTGGAGTGCGGCGAGGTGGTCGGACATGCCAGGGCCGCCGCCGCTGAGGACTCACGACGAGTACTGGGGGGTGCTGCACGCCGCCCCCAAGCAGCGGCTGCAACTGGCGGTCGGCAACGCGCTGCTCCAGGCCATGGTCCAGCTGATGGCCGACCACCTGGCAGCGGGCAGCGCGGCATGGATGGAGCACCCCATCCCGGCGCACTGGCGCCGCGAGGCAGTGACGAGCTGGACGTGGGAGCCACTCCTGGCGCTGCAGTCGTGCCCAGTCGTCAGCACCACGGACTTCGACCAGTGCGAGCACGGCGGCAAGGCTGGCAGGGCGCCGACGAGGATCGTCGGCGTGCGAGTGAGCGGCCTGCACCGGCGCTTGAGAGCGACGCCCGGACAGGGGCGTTGCTCGCATGGACGTGGAGCGCACTCAGTGCTCCTGGGTAAAGCAGAGACGGGGGGGGAGTTTAAAACGGCGGCCAAGAAGGTCTACCCCCCCGGCCTTTGCAGGGCCCTGGCCGAGTCGATTGTCCAGACGGTTGCTGATTTTTCGGCCCTGGATCCTGGGGCCGGGTCTCAGACCGAGTTGAGTAGTCCTGAGGTGGAGGGTCTTCGGGATTTTTTCGTTGGGTCCATACCTGAGGAGGGTGTTG